GCCAGTAATTATGAGAGCGAAGATAATGATAGCATGCCACCACTGGAGGATATTGAGGAAAGTGTTGAATATCCAATCCAAGTGGAAGCTTTGGTTATCATAAGAGTTCTGAATGTCCAAATCAAGCCAGAAGAAAATAACCAGAGAGAAAATATCTTTCACACTTGTTGTTTTATAAATGGGAAGGTTTGTAGTCTCATTATAGATGAGAGTAGCTGCACCAACGTAGTTAGTACTACTCTAGTTGATAAACTTGGTTTAATATGCATGCGTCATTCTCACCTTTACAAGTTGTAGTGGTTGACTGATTGTGGAGAGATGAAGGTGACTAAAAAGGTATTAGTTTCTTTTTCTATTGTTCGATACATTGATAAAGTACATTGTGATGTTGTGCCCATGCATGTTAGTCACATCCTATTAGGAAAATCCTAACAGTATGATAAGCGTGCAACTTATGATGGTTATAGAAATTGTTGTTCCTTTAACATGAACGGTAAGAATTTTATACTTGCACCACTATTACCTGAGGAAGTATTCAAAGATCAGCAGCAGCTCAAAAACTTCATAAAGTCCGGAGAAAATGAAAGATTGAGCACCATGAAGAAATAATGTTGCTATGGAAAAGGAGCTAAAGAAACCCCATTTCAAGAAAAAAATATAAACTCACCTCAAACTTTTTCTGTTTAATAGTGTTGTTTTACAGAATATTTTTTCAAAGAAAATAGAATTGGTGAATCCCCTACATAAGAAGTGTCCGATTCAAGAACGAATTGTTTTTTAAGAGGGAGAGGATAATGTGAGCAAGGACATGGATCATGAAAAGAAGGCCTCATCCAATGGAAGAAGAAATTAAACCCATTCTATCAAGAGCAATTTGGTATCTTCAACTCTATCCAAGTACAAGAGGGAAGTGGAAAGAAAGAGTAGGGAAATGGCCAAATAGGAGACGTTATGGCTAGCCTTAAATTTTTATGTCTCTCCATTTATCTGACCACAATCTCTTTTAATTAAAAGAGAAGATTAAATTTATTTTACTTAAGAAATTAGCCTTTAATTTTTAATTTGTTTTCATATGTCTTTTCTTTAATTTGGTCACAATCTCTTTTAATTAAAAAAGAAGACTAAATTTATCTTAATTAGGAAATTAATTTTTAATTTTTGATTTATTTCCTACGTAATTGCAAATTAAATTAAGAGATTTTATTTTCTTTTTATTTACACGGTTTATCCTATAAATAGACTATCAAATCTTCATTATAAGACATTCAGAAATTATCTTAATAATATTAAATGTTTCTTTTCAAAAGAGGTTCTTTTATTATCTTATTGAGTAAAGAGTGGATATACTTATCAAGGTACGATCTTGTAGCGTTTTTCTATTTTATTTTTTTCATTTTTAGTTATCTTATTTTCTATCATTCTTGATAGCAGGTTAAGTAGGAAGAGTTTTTATAGAATCAATTTCTTTGATGCCTTTAAATAAAATTGTGTGAATTCATGATCATGTTGGTTGATCTTGGGTTCCGCATCGTTTCCTCTTCAAGTGGGATGGTGAGGGTTGTTTTTGTATCGAACACGTGTATAAGCACCCAAAAGACAATCTGGTAAACAATATTGATTTTTTGTATCTTTGTTTTGTAGGCCGGAGAAGTTGCTTGCTTGAGCTTGTGAATGAGTTTTTTTTTGTCTTTTAAAAAAAATAATCTGCCAGGAAATACTAGAGTGCATCTTTTTGGAACAGTGTCTAACATTTGATATCACTCTATTGACAGACTAGTTTTTATATGGATTCATTATACTTCACTTTTCAGCAATATTACAGTCAATTAGAGGCATTCATCAAATAGATTTTTCACCCGGAACCAACTGCTTAATTT